TATATATATATATATATTTTTGTCATTCGTTTTATCCTTATTTGAAATATAAATGAAATATAAATATCATTTCGTATTATATTGTTTCTATTCAATTTTGTATACGTACAATTAAGCGTTCATATTTACATACATTTGAAAAGATAAAAACACATAGATGCCTATAAAATGAAGAAATTAATCTCAATTAAATTAAAAGGCCGCGTTGGAGCTCGTTTAACTTAATTATATCCATGTACACACACATCGTATCGTATTAATTACTTCTAGTACCGTTATTGCGTAAAATTTTACTAAACAAATAGTAAAAAAAAAAACACGTAAAACTACGTATTTCTGAGAAGTAATTGTACCTTTTTTTTCGATTTTTTAATTTAAAAAATACGCACGATTGATTTAATGAAAAAAAAAAAGGAAATAAATTAATTTTTGTCGGATATATAAATTAAAATTGTTAAAGGAAGAATATGAATCGAGGAACAAAATGTTCAATTGTACAAATGTTCAATTGAACAACACGCTGTGGCGTGTGTGTTTCTTTACGTTTCTGAATTAAGATTAGCACGGATAATTTGGAGAGAGTTCATTGGCGCCATGATTCTCAAGGTTACATTCGCCTCCATGCGATATTTTTGGGGCGAGAGAAATTTTTTACTAAAATTATTTGATCTCCGTCCACCTAAATTCTTCCCACTCTGGTGGCTCTAATTTTAACGAAGATTCAGGAGGGAAAATAAATTTTTTTTCTTTTTTTTCTACAAGTGTTCTTCGTACACCACGAAGAAATTTTTCTCTCAACATGATATGACATTTTTTAATTTCATCAAAATTTCTTCGCGATTACAAACAAAAATTGGTAATAAATATATTAGTTAGTTATAATCAAACTGAGAATAATTGAGATGAAAAAAAAAAAAAAATTGAATTATGAGAAATAAATGGGATAAAAGGTGAGGTAAAATGAATATATGGAAGATCTTCTTTGTAGATAAATTTATTATTTTCCATTATGCGCAAAACCTTGACTATGGCCTTTAAAAGTAGAATCTCTCATGCATCTCTCGGAAATTTCAATCGATTAACGTATTGCTAATTATTCGTTCGTAAAATATGCAAAATTGTGTTAACACGCTTTGAAGATTTCTTCTTCTGTTCTATCTCTGTTTTATAAAGAAAAAATGAAATGAGACATAATTATCGTTGAAAGAAACAACGTTGAAACGTAATACGTAGAAATTGAACAGTGAATCTGTTTGTATTTTGAGCAACAGTGTGTGTTATTCTTTCATCTCTGAATGAAAAGAACGTGAAAAGAAATGACGAGAGAAAATGCGAGAATATATATATATATTTTTTTTTTATTAAAATTAAAACGAAAAATTAAGACACATTGTTTTTAAACTTTTACAAATATAAACAATTTCGTCTAGCTTTCTTATTATTAATTTAACAAATATAATTATATAAACATTGAAACGAGAGATAATCTTTTTTTTGATATTTTTCTAAAAATTATCAGATACCACATAATACATCGTAAAGCTATACCGGTATAGATATATTATTATAAACACAGTTATAAGATCATTGTTTTTAGATATTGGATATTTGTTATAAGACACGTTGTATACGTACACCAGTCATCAATTTATAGTGGTATGAATATCTATTATGTATTGCACCAAACAATAAAATCGCCGTTCAAAGCAGTTTTCGATGCTTCGAGGTATTATCGATAAAGACATTCTATGACATAACGAAAAAATTCACTTCACAACATACTTTCCATCAATGGCATATCTCGATATTCAAATATTTAACACGGTTAAAAAAAAAAACATTCGTCAAGAGTTTCCAATAAAATCGAGAAAAAAGTCGATCAATTTTTTAACCAAATATCTATTTCAATCTATTTTAAATATTTCACAGAAATTAGACTCTACGATAAAAATTTTCGACCAGCTCAAACGTATATTCTTTTAGATCCACTACTACGCTACTTTCAAACTGTGTTATTTCTCGTAATTCTTTTTTTTTTTTTTTTTTTTCAATGACATCTTTAATCCCGGGGGGGGATTCTCCCACACTTTGTTGAATAAAAAAAAAAAAATTCGTCAAGAGTTTTCAATAAAATCGAGAAAAAAGGCGATCAATTTTTTAACCAAATGTCTATTTCAATCTATTTTAAATATTTCACAGAAATTAGGCTCTACGATAAAAATTTTCGACCAGCTCAAACGAATATTCTTTTAGACCGAGTACGCCGCAACTTTCAAACTGAGATATTTCTCGCACTTCTTTTTTTTTTTTTTTTTTTTCAATGACATCTTTAATCTCGAGAGGAGATTATCCCACACTTTGTTGAATAATAAAAATAAATAAATTCAAATCTGTTTTCATTATCGTTAATCAGAATTAAGGTGCAACAGTAGCATTTTTCTCGGCGATAAACGGAACAAAACAATCCACTTCCTTTTTTTCCCTCCCCATCCTTCTCCATTCCAAAAGGTCCCGGGACGGTTCGAGGTATCGATAAGGTGTTTTCTCTCGTGTGCGTATAGGCTCATACGGGGGACATTCCACGGCGCTTAGGACCTTTACCCGTTGTTTATAAATAATTGTCGTCGCACTCGATAAAACGTAACCGTATACATTTGTATTAAAACGTATTCCCCCGTATACTGACTCATTCATCGCGGTCGCACGAGTCCGATCGATCTGTCAGTCGAGCAAGGCTGCCCGCTCCGAAAGGGTTGCTCTGCCTTCCATTCCCGCATCGATCAAATCGATTTCACGATAGAACGAACAATATTATATCGTATCGTATTCTATAAAAATAGCGATGATCTCTCTACGTTAAATCTACGTTTAATCCGAAGCGAAAAGGCGGGAAGATAAAGATAAAATAAGATATTCGATCCGATTAATGTAGAATTAATGTGAAGATTTGTTTGTTAATATATGTTTGTCGTTCCCCGGGAGAAGTGAGAAGGGTTAAGTGAAGAAAGTGCGGTAAAAGTTTACAAATTTGACGAATGTAACGTTTATGAGATATAATTTAGATTGTCGAATAAGTTTTAAAAAAAATAAAATCGAAGAAATCGAGTGTTGAGTTAAATGAAAAATCTACGAATCGATTTTATGTATTCAAAAATTGTATTGGTAAAGGGTGACAGTTTTACGATGTGCATCATCAATATGACTATCGCTTATAATAACGGTAAGATGAAATCATGGAAGATTTTAAAATTTTTAAATTTATGTTTATACTTTCGATTCATTGAATTTCTTGTTAATAAAAGAAATAATTCAATAAAGTTAATGAATTAATTTTTGATCAATCAAAAAATTTGATTTCTTTTTTTGTGTACCAGTCGTTAGTTTGATGAAAGACAATCGGCAGACAATCAAACGTAAAATGCTATCTACAGTGAGCATGCCAAACCCTTGTATGATTTAGATACTGTAGTTTTTCTGTACTGTAATATTTACCCAGCAAAATCATCATTAGGTTGCACGATAAAAGCGTAAAAATAAAAATCGAACTCATTTCTGTGGTCTATTTCGCGATATTATATATATAGATATAAATGATATTAGTTAATAAGTATTTTCTTTCGAAAGGATAACGTAAATTTATGTATTTTATTATATAATTTTGTATTCGAATTTCTATTCCGTCACATAAAAATTAAAGAAAAGAGATTTCAATCAGATGGAATACGGAGAATATTTTATTAAATTTTGTCAAATTAATCTTTCTCGTGAATAATTTCTTCATATTTCTTCGATTCTTATTGCCAACGTTATAAGCAATAGAAAAACACTTATTATCATAACTTTTATTTATTACAAATTTTTATTTCGCAAGCAAAGAAATTAAAAATTTTTAATTCGTTTGCAAC